CTCTTGAAGACAAGAACCGTATCTCGTACATACTTAAATCCTCTAATTTAACAACACTGTCTTGTACCTAGTAGGTACTCAAGTACCTCCTGAATAGAACTGAGAAGTAGAAAGACATCCATTACATTACAAAGCGATTCAAATTGGCCTCCCCCTCAAGTAAAGGCTGCAAGTTACTAAACACTGGCTGATCCAAGAGTGGGCAGGGGCTGATGGCCGGTCTCAAGTTAGCTGCACATTAGAGTCACCTGGAAAGCTTTTAAGATCCAGGTGCCCAGGCTCCACCCAGCCCAAGCCCAATTACATCAGAATCTCCTGGGGTGGGACCCAGACTCCGGTCCATTTCACAGCTCCTGGATGCAGCCCACAGTGGGCCGAGGTTTATGTTCACCTGCTCTCACACGGAGGCTTTCCCACAGGCCCCCGCCCCTGTCATTCCCGGAGGCGGAACAGATAAAGCAGATGTGTAAATACCCTTCTCACCTACAAGTCAGACTGAAACAAAAATCAGCCAGATGATGGCTACTTTCATCTAAAAAAGCTGTTTTGCTTGTTTAAAGATTCTGAATTTTTAGTCAAACTCATAGAAGCAGAGAGCGGAACGGTAGTTACCAGGCACCGCAGAGTGGGGAGATGTTAGTCACACAGAACAAACTTGCAGTTACAAGATGGGCAAGCTCTGAAGGCCTAATTCCAGCATGCTGAGTAGTTAGGAAGAGGGTACAGTGTAGTGGAAATCTGCTAAGAGAGGAATCTTACATATTCTCACTGCACACACTGAAAAAGGTAGCTGTGCGAGGTGATGGCTGTCTTCACTAGCTTGATTGTGGTAAACATTCCACGAAGTATATACCTGTATCAAATCATCACGCTGTACACCTTAAATATACACAATTTTCCTGCTCTTGATGTGTGTGTATATATAGATATACAATTTTTACTTGTCAATATACCTCAGTAATATACCTACTAACTACTCATAAAAATTAAAAATTATATTTCAATAGAGCTAGGGGAAAAAAGATTCTAAATTTTCCAAGCCATCTTTTATTCTCCTTCTATGTTCTCGTCCTCTCCTCGCCTGTTAGTCTGAGTAACATAACTCAACAGCCAGGAGGGTTTCGGCAGAACCGAAAATACACACCTCCCACTTGCTTGGTAGTGCTCAATCCTACCAACCGTCCGGCGAAATAGAAACAGGCCAGCCCCACTGGTCCAGACAAGCACCTCAAGGCGCAGGTGTGGCAGAGGGAGAGAGACCACCTCTTCAGAAGCCAAAAGCACATCTTCAGGGCACCCACTCTGCTGGTCTATGTGGCCAGCAGAGCTGGCCAAATGAGGCTGTGAAACCAGTGAAAGCACACAGGTAGCCGAGGTCAGGAATCGGCAACATCACTCCTGGAGACAGGGCGTCTTACCTGGCAAGAGTGGCCCAGCAGGTTGGAAGCGCCACACGGTGAACCAAGAGGAAAGGCAAACCCCTAAGACATAGGAACGCGCGCCGTCCAGAGAAAGGCGACTGCGTGCTCTGCAGAAGTACTTGCAGCATGTCTTCTAACCAGAAGAGTGTTTTAGAATTATTTTTAAAAACCCACAAACCTACCGATCTGTGCACTTGCAAACACAGATTAGGGGCGTGCTCTCCGCCGCACTTAGGAGTAGGAGTTAGAGAAGGGAGCATAGCAGGGAGTGCACTGAGCAGGAGCGAACCTCGTCAGCGCAGCTTCACTGCTCAGATACTGCTTCTGGAGGGACCCTCCTCCATCCCACACAGTGAGAGTCCACCTGGGAGGGCTGACAGCTTCCAGAAAGCGAGTCAGCAGAAGCCCTAGCCGAGCATGTGTGACTACCCTGGGCTGTGAGCAGAGCTCAGCGGTGACTCTTCCAGTCTTTCCTAAAGGCGGCACTGACTTGCTGAGGAACTAGCAAGGCCATGCCGCCACATGCACCACCTGAGGAGGGTCCGCAGATGATTATCACCGGCCAACCCGGACAGTATTAGAACGAGGCCTTCATAAGTATCTCCTCACATGTCTACAACAGGCTCTCTCCTGCTTTTGTAAATAAAACTTTATAGGAACCCAGCCACTCCTAGTCGTTCAACACGGTCTTCGGCTGCTCTGGCAGAACTGAATAAATGCAGCACAGACCATACGGCCTGAGGAGCCAAAATGATTCACCATCTGGCCCTTTACAGAAAAAGTTGGCCAACTCCCGGTCTCTTATCACCATGGGGACAAAAACACTAGAGCAGCTGTTACCTGGCAGGCTAACGCACAGAAACGGGCATTCTTAGGCTCAGTATTCAACTTCAACTTAGTCATCAAGCCGCATACCTTGGAAAGAAGTCCCTTTCTTGGTGGCTACAGGAGAGGCAGCGGTGCCCACCAAACATTCTATCACCCTCCTGCTTCCAGTGTCCGGTGGAGGCTGGCCCAGGTGACGGCCCAGGGAGGAGGGGCGGAATGGCCCGCCAGCTGTCTCCTCCCCGGCAGCGGGGACCCGAAGCAACGTGTTCCCAAGGGCAGCCACAATATGGTGGCAGAGCCTACTGCCGACCACACCAGATATGAACCACGTGCAAAGAAAGAAACCTTTGCTGCTAAACACTGAGATTTTGGATTAATTTTTCTCGGAACACATACTGGTCTACCCTAACTTAGAAAGGTGGCAAAGGAGGTGGCCTCCTTTGTGTCTCTCCTTTCCCACAGCGGGGTACAGAGCTCAGCTATGTGGCAAAGGAGAAAGCATGGCCAGCCCTAGGACAGTCGATCCTTCCCCCTCTCAACCCTACTTGAATTCTCTATCACTTGCAAGGCACTTGTAACACTGGAGAAGTCCTGTACAAATAAACCAAGACGGCTGAGGGAAGACAGGATTTATTCTGCACAAACTTGACAGCCAGGGCCAAGCTACACCCTTCTGAAAGCCACAGAGAATAAATGGTTATCCTAGTGACAAAGTGGTCAGGGACAGGGTTTCCCTCTTTGAAGAATAATCTCGCTGGCTGTGGTGGCGTGTGCCTGTAGCTATTTGGGAGGCTGAAGCAGGAGAATCGCTTGAGCCCAGGGTCGAGTCTGCAGTGAGATGTGATCATGCCACTACACTCCAGCGTGGGCAACAAAAAGAAGAATCCTCTTCCCTCTACATTTTACATAATTTTCGTGTGATATGGTGGGATAAGCATGAGTTTTCAAAGACGTGGGAAATGGGCTTCAAAGTCAACCATGCCACTTGGCAGCCATGTGATCTCACCTAGCACGTAACCCAGGTGCCTTTCACCACCTTTTCCCAACTCTGGGGCTCAGTGTCATTATCTACTAAATAACGGACTCCATCTACCTCGTCTCCAAGACCATCTCTACTCCAAAACTTCTATGGAAGTCCAGGGAACTAAACTGTCAAACAAGAAAATTCCCAGCCCATCAGGAACAATCCGTAACTGCTGGCAGTCTCCTCTGCTTTATGGTGGGATTAAGATGGAACAGTGCTCGCCTGCTGCTGCTTTCACGGATGAGAAGACACAGCGAATGTCAGCCGGGACTGAAGTGGGAAGGACATGACCTGCTATCTTTCTTAATTTTCATACTCCAGTCTCTTTTTAGTTTCCCTTTCGTTGTACTTTTTATTAGACAAGTGTTTAAGAATATGCAGTAAAAACTGAACTATAATTTGTTTATACCCACAAAAGTTATCTAAACAGAAATAAATTTTAATTATAAAAAAATTTTAACAAAATTTCAAACAACTTTAAAACACAAAATGGAGAAAGTAAAACTTACTCATCATTCTACCCCAAAGATATTTTATTTACTTTAAGAGTTTAGCATATATAGTTCAAAAAATATGCAAACTATATTTTATATCAAATGAAATACAGAAATTTTACAAGTTCCTTTTTCACTTTATACTGTAGCTATCTTTTCATCTGAATTTATATTGATTTACCTCATTCTTTTTAAAAGCTACAAAGTATTGCACGGTACAGGTGACGCAATGCTGAGTGCTGTCTGTTGAGCCTGATTCTCTTCTCTGTACAGTTCAGCAACCTGAGTCTGAATGAGGCGAGTGAGTCACGCCACCGAGCTGACGGCACGACTCCCTCAAGCAAACACTGATAAAGGTGCAGGAAGGCGAACTGCCCATCACCACCTGCTCGCCATCTCTGGCTGTCAGCAGGACTTCTTTTTACTCAATAATCACATAGACTAGAAACCTCATTCCAGGTTTCAATATTCCCTGCAATCAAAGAATTTTGGGGAAAAAAAAATACATGAGCATATTCTATCGGACTGTCCCATTTTGGGTTCTAACTTCTATCTGACAACACCACATCAGCACTAAACCCACATATGCATAAAACGAAATCAAAGGAGTTCACAGAGAGCATGGGAGAGGGTATCGCTCTTACTTTCAATCAATATGTGTGGCTAAAACTGTTCAACTTAAAACATATCTTGTCAGATAATAATAAAATATATTTACAATACTTAAATACTTTCAGTCGGCCGGGCACGGTGGCCCATGCCTGTAATCCCAGCACTTTGGGAGGTCGAGGTGGGTGGATTGCCTGAGCTCAGGAGTTTGAGACCAGCCTAGGCAACATGGTGAAACCCTGTCTCTACTGAAATACAAAAAAAAAAAAATTAGCTGGGCATGGTGGCATGCACCTGTAGTCCCAGATACTCAGGAGGCTGAGGCAGAAGAATTGCTTTAACCTAGGAGGCAGAGGTTGCAGTGAGCCGAGATCGCACCACTGCACTCCAGCCTGGGTGGTAGAGCAAGACTCCGTCTCCAGAATAAAATAAAATAAAATAAAAATTCTAGTTAACTGAGTCATTTCCATTTTCTCTTACAATTATACTGTCTTTAACAAATCCTATGAAACAGAAGGTGAAACAGGAATATCTACTAGTAATAAATAGTAATACCGTCTTCTAAGAATGATGGACCTTTAATTGTGGAATGAAATCAAGGTACCTTACCCACGCAGCTTATACCTTATACAGCGGACGCCGCACATCAATGGGGCAGTTCTGTATGACTTCATCAACAACATCTGAGATGGATTCCATAAAGTCTGGGTTGGCAAACTGAATTGTATATCAATAGAAAAGAAACATTACACATTTCTCTCAAATAGAACAACATGAACCCTTTTTTTAAAGTAACTTTAACAAACATACAATTTATTATAACTTAAAAGAATTCACACTGGGGCCAGGCGCGGTGGCTCAAGCCTGTAATCCCAGCACTTTGGGAGGCCGAGACGGGCGGATCACGAGGTCAGGAGATCGAGACCATCCTGGCTAACACGGTGAAACCCCGTCTCTACCAAAAAAATACAAAAAACTAGCCGGGCGAGGTGGCGGACGCCTGTAGTCCCAGCTACTCGGGAGGCTGAGGCAGGAGAATGGCATGAACCCGGGAGGCGGAGCTTGCAGTGAGCTGAGACCCAGCCACTGCACTGCAGCCTGGGCGACAGAGCGAGACTCCGTCTCAAAAAAAAAAAAAAAAGAATTCACATTGGAATGAAGGATATGTCAAATGAATCCCACGTGACTACGTGTGCGTGGGGTGGTGATGACATATTTCTCCTCATGAGGTAAAATGTATGGATTTAGTGAAGAAAAAATACCGATAATATCAAAGACAGACCATCCCCACACCATGAGCACACAGTGATTCAGCCTAATAAGAGCAGTGGAGAGTATGTGCACGATCCACGTGATACGCAGTGAGAAACGTGAGTTTGACATATCATTTGGCAATATTCGTATTATGAGAAAATCAGGATATAAGGAAAAAGAAACAGGTTCAATGAAAGATTAATTAAACCTGGTCTAGAAGATGGAGGGAAGTGTTTTGTTTAACGAGAAGTGTTTGTTTAAAATGAAACAATCCACGTGATAATCACGTTATTGAATAAACAGCCTTAGATTCAACTCCATGAGTTAAACAAGCGTCAACTCAATTACATTTCATTTGAAATATGTTAAAAATCAAAGAAAGCTTGAATGTGCACTCTCAGAGGAAGGAGGAGGCCACTCAGGGGTTCACAAGCTGTTCACTGGACATTTGTCTATGTCCACTTCAAATCCATAGATTAAAAGCGGGCATTCGCTGGATTATCATTGCCATCGTTTTATTCTTCAGCATTACTAGTGAGGTATACTTTCCATGCTGTTTCTCTGCACAAAACAGCCATATACACATCTAAAACCAAACAGCAGCTTGTAACCCACCTATCGAATACAAACTGAAGTAGCCAGGAATATATATCAAAATATAAATAAAATGCATTATATGTAAATCTTAAAATGTGCCTCTTAATTACTGCTTTCTGCAAAAGTACTAATAATTCCTTACAACTACTAGTTAAAATGATGACATTTCTAATTCTTAAGATTACCTAAATAACAGAAATGCTGGCCTTAGACAGAAGATTAACCTAACTTGCAGCAGGGAACAGAGCAGGATCAACTGTCCAGGGTTAAAATTAGAAGTTAGGAAGGGCAATCACCAAAGATGGAAAGGTTATATGTTATCCCACTCTGAGGCACAGGCAACCTCCACATAGTCCTTGAGATTATAGCTACTCGTAATACTAGCATGTGACCACCCACAACCCTTGAAGATTACTTTTAGTTCTATTATCGTCTATTGCTCCTATAAGTCTTCCTATTTGTGGTATAACCCATCTTTAATTATTAACACAGACAGCCAAGAGGAGAGGCAAACTGAACAATCTGTCAAGCAGACAAACGGCACAGGGGATGCGGGGAGACAGAACGACGGCCGCCCTGCTCACAGGCCCTTTGCTGGGAAATGCTCTTTCCGCACTCTGGGTGGCAGTACCGCTCCATCCCACACACTTGAGCACACACAAAAGGAAACATCTTACCTCCGGGTGAAAGAATATTTCAGGTCCCAGGAACCTTTCATAACCAACGTCTATAACAAACTTCTTCTGGTTGATTGCGTTGATACCCGTGTACTGTTTGATCCACTTCCGGGGATCCACATCATACTTGGCAAATTCCTTGACTATATCAGGGCAAATGTAACAGTATTTCTCCTGCATACACACACAAAGATGTTGCCAGGCATTAACAACCGCCCAGTGTCTCTGCCCTCAGACAAATAACCAGGAACCCCATGCAGTAAACACGCCCTGGAATCAGAACCACCCCCACCGTCACTCCAGTGTGGATACGTGTCAGGTCTCACATTCCATCGTCTTTCATATTAGACATGGTTACACTTGGACTCTGGACAGGTAAGTCTGCTTTCTCTGCAACTCAGCTATTAATCTCAGCCTTGGTCTATCCAATTCTATCGCTATCATATCTGAAATGATGTCTGTAGGTGTCTAGAAAGCACGTCTTGCCTTGTTCCTCTCAGGTGCCCCCTATGGCCTGCCCTGGCACCCCTCTGTTGTCCACACCGGACCAGCAGACCCATGCTGCAGCCTCACCTACCGAGAGCAGCACTGTCTACACCCTAACACCTGACTGCAGAGGCTTCTTTCGGTCCCAGCATCCACAAGCTGGGTGGCCACTGTCAACCTGCTGGTTGTTAATCTGGTGTGGAGCTGGCCACAACACTGTCACCAGCTCCACTGACACTATCTCTTTGCCTAGACATAGTGTACCTTGTTGACTGGGTCTTCTAAGTCCCTCAATTAACACAGATTTACTGTCTAGGCACTTGGGAGACACAAGTGAGCGAAACACACACAGATCCCTGCTGAGATTACACTCCAGCTGGGAGTCAGACAACAATAAGCAACCATAACAAGTAAATGACATGGTAGGTTATAAAGTGATAGGTCCCAGGGAATAAAGGAAAAGGAGAGTCAGGGGGGAGGACTGGAGCTGCCAGGATGCTGCTGCTGTGTGAGAACCCACTAACAATCCCCGCCCTGCACCGACAGGCAGCCTGAGGGATGCGAAGTGTTTCCTGAGTATCTGGTGAGATTAATATTCTTGGACACCTTTGTGTTGATACATGTCCTTAGAGCTGGCCTCAGCCAAGCAGCAGGTGACCCCCAGGTACTCGCTGCCTACGGGAAACACCAGGTGGGCTGCCCAGCTGGCACTCAGCACACCGTGGAAGGAATGGTTCTCTCAAGGACCTCCAAAGACGTTCCTGTGGTATTAAGTTTAAAGTTTCTTAGCATCCCTGAAACATATTCTAATGCCATCTTCTGGGTATCTTGGATATACTCTAGCAGAATTTTAAGAAGACTGACAGGCAAGAAGTGTTACACAACCCTGTGTTCCTTGATGCCACAGAGAAACAGGGTCAGCTGATTACAACCTCAAATCAACCAAGACTGGAGACAAAGGCATTCAGTTCTCCTCACAGGCCTGGCAACATCCCACAGCATCTCAGCTCACTTAACTCAAACGCTTCCTATGAAATGCTTCCATGGAGTTGGGTGCAGAGTAACAGGCTTAATCTTAAGGTTCAGGATTCATGATGCAAGGGTGGTGTGTTCACGGTACACACTCCCTCAGGCCTGCTCACGACCACAGAAGGCCATGGCAGTAAAGGGAAGCAGGGGGAGCTCTAAACCACGCCTTTCAGGATCTGTTCCTTTAAAGAGAGAAGTGAGGCAAGAACTAACAGGGCTACCCCACACAGCAGGGCCAGGGCAGCTGATTTGGAGGCTATGAACAGAGTCTCTTTTACTCCCAGCCTTCACAGGAGGGTGACACACAGTCACATCAAGCACACCAGCCCAGATTTCAGGGTCCAGATTGGAACTCCAACAGCCCTGAGGAGAGTGTAAGGCCCAGCATGAGGGTCAGGAAAGCCCCTCCTAGCAGTGCCGCTCAGCAATCCTGGTGGAAATAGGAAGGACTCAGACCCACTGGAGTGGACCCTGGGTATCAGTAACAAGAGGCTCAATTCTTAGATCTCGCTATATTGCCTGAGCTGGTCTCGAACCCCTGGCCTCAAGCAATGCTCCCCCCTCGGCCTCCCAAAGTCCTAGGATTATACGTGTGAGCCACTATGAAGGGGCTCCATTCTGACTTACATTTCTAACAGATTTGGAGTGGCAAGGGAGCTTGGATCAAAAAGTCAAATATTCTTCCATTGAGGAAAGGCAAAGAAAGGAGACGGTAACCCCTCAGGAAAAATTTTAGTCTAAAAAAGAATGTCTAATGATACCTCAGGAAACCTCCCCCTGAGATGGAAGGGACCACGTCTTCCCCATGTCACCATTTCAGCACTGAGAGCCTCCTTCCCAGGAATCTCTGGTTCCAGGTAAAGTACGGCAGGTCATACCCAACTACAGAGCCTGCCCCATGCCAGTGCTTCCTGTCCTAAAAACACCTCGGGAATCATCTCTGATGCTTCCTTTCCTTCAAGCAGCCTCAGTTACGAGGTGCTGAGAAGGGAGGAAGGCAGTGAGGAGAAGGGTGGGTGTCAGGCTCACCCTCCTCAAGCTCCACTACACTCAGAAACTGTGCAGTAAAGGAAGGAGATGCTTATGGCCACACGTCACACCTACACCTGTGTGTGAATTTTGTGCAATAGCTCTGGATTCTAGGGTGGCAGTGTTCTGCTGCTGCAGTCGCCTCCTGATTCTACAGTGAAGCATGGAGGCAGTATGGAAGGAGCGCTCTGGTAGTTGAGGCTCTGGCAGTGAGGTTCCAGCTGAACAATGCGCCTCTGCATGCTGGTACACTGCACCAGCTACCAAGCTGTTCTCAGTGACAGCTGGAACCTCAGAGCATCTAGTTTGGAAGAGGTTAAGCTTTACATCTTCAGCCCACTTAACTCAAGGGGTAAAACAAATCAAGCCCCACACTCATGGGAAGGGGAGAGGAAGGAAAGGAGAAGCAGGGATGATGGCACCGAGGGGAAGTGTCCAGAACACCATCTCTCTCACCCCCAAACCAGCCGGTTTCCCATCTGTTTTTACCTTAATGGCTTTTGCTGTCTCCAGTGACTGCTCAGGAGGGATTCCCACCTCCCTCTCCCTTAGCAGCTGTTGAATGAAATACGTAATATCTCTACCTGCAATCGGGATGTGTTTGATGCAGCTTCCAATAACATAACCTTCTGCCTAGGGAAGAAGAGGAGGCAAAACAGCTGTGTTAGTGATTCTGTAGTGGAGAGCAGCCTGGACTCACAAGGTTTCCCGTCTCAGCCTCCCTGTCTGCCCCTCACAGCATTAACAAGCATTTACAGAATCCCCACCCTCTGCAAGCTCGGTACAGAAGGTCTTTCAAAATGACTGCATACGAAATTCCATTTATATTCAAACTTCCAGATTATTCCAATAATCTGACGCTCTCCGAAAGCAACCAAAATGATGTCTTCATTAGGAATATGAAAAGAAAAAACACACAGGATAGTTCATTTCCAAAAAGTAATGCTGTCTGTGAGAACACTAAACCCAATAGGTTTTTTCCCTAACAAAAAGGAAAAAGTTTTATTTATAAATTGTTAAGCCAACTATAAATCTACTTATGTTTAAAAGTCAGCAATTTGGTTAATACACAGGGCTTAGATTCTAACAACCTGGACTCCAATTCCGGCTCCACATTTGCAAGTTTCACATGCTTCAGCCTCAGCGCATTTGTCCATCATATGGGGCAAACAATACCCTGCAGGGGCCAATAATACAGTTCAGATGAAACTGTGTGTGTTGAGCACATAGCACTGCTTTTGGGGGTGGGGAGCCTCTCATTCCACTGCCTCCCTGAGCCAGTGAAGGTATGTCTGTGATGGACCAGGAAAGAAGGGTGACCACCACCTGTGCCGATCAATGGCAGGACCGGTGTAAAGTATCCACATGCCCACAGCAATGATGGGTCCAAAGCTCCCTCATCAGCCTTCCTGTGGGCACAGACCTGCCACAGGAGCCACAAGCTTGGACACACATCCAGCTTGTTCCACAGGGGTGAGCAGGTGCTGACCGTCAGAGTGGACAACGCCTACCGCTGGATCATCCGGTAAAGACCCTCAGGTTTCACGTTACAGCAATCACAGCTTCTGTGCCACACTCCCCAAGTGAGACAGAAGGGAACAGAAGTGAAACGCTGACTTCATTTTACACACACATTCATTCTAATAGTTGCATCTAGTCACCAGTAAAGTTGCAAGGACAACTTACTGAATTCCTCCTATGGTTTTTTTCTGATGTACCTAACTTCTAGAAGCAAAAAAAGATTTAGCCTTTCTGTAGAGTCCAAGTATTTGTAAAGTATTTTAAGATGGAGCTAAAAGATATGTGCAAATTATTAAAAATCAACTTAAACCCATAAAAATAATATTAGCTTTCTAACATATAAATTATTCAAAATTACCACATTCTATGCATTACACGTAATATTTTCTAAAATACTGTTAAATAAATATCAGCTCATGACAGTGGTAAAAATATTAAAACAAGATACATGTCCAACAACAGAAAAATAAATTATGTACTTCTTAAATGTATTTTCACAGAATATTTAACCACAAGAGAAAAAAATTAGGGTTAAATCAATATGCAAAATATAACTTTAGGATTGTATTATATATAGAATCCCAGACCAGACATGAGACATTCCAATTGTGTTTAAAGTGTGTGCATGTGACATGTGTCTTAGAAAAAGAGCTCAGGCTGGGCACGGTGGCTCACACCTGTAATCCCAGCACTTTGGGAGGCCAAG